TGTACGCCGAGGCAACGCGTGCTAACCGAACTGCATCTCCCTCTATAGCCCCGGGCGCACCCGGTGAAAAGGGAGCTTCATCTATCCAGCCTGGCGATCGCGAGCCAATTCCTAACAATGAAGGGGTGGATTACAGCTTGCGAGACAACAATCTGAGAAAGCATCTCACTGAAAAGAAGAAGAGAGCATCTCGGAAGCCGGAAGACTCTCCTCCTACTCCCGAGAATTCTCCAACTCGAACCTAAAGGCTCAATCAAAATACAAGCCCCTAACACCAGAAGCTGTGATCACTAGGGAAGAATTCGACCTGATGAAACATAGGTTCGATGAGCAGGTGGAGGCACTCAAAGCCAGGTGCGAGAAGAAGGAGAGCTCGTTTGACGATGGCGACTTGGGAGAATCGCCATTCACCTCGGATATTATGGAAGCTCCAATCCCTCCAAAGTTCAAAACTCCCACTATGAAGCCATATGACTTTCAAGCGGCGACAGACGCAATCAAATGCCGCGCCTTCCAGATCGCGTTCACCGGCAGCGCGCGCCTGTGGTACCGAAGACTGCCGGCCAGGTCGATCTCAACCTACTCCCAGCTAAGGAAGGAGTTCATCAGTCAGTTCTCCTCTCGGCACTATGACAGAAAGACAGCGACTCACCTTGCCACCATCAGGCAGAAGGAAGGAGAAACGTTGAGAGAATATGTCACAAGGTTCCAAGAGGAGTATCTGAAGGTCGTGCACTGCTCCGATGATTCGGACATGTGCTACTTCCTCACTGGCCTGGCCGATGAGACCTTAACCATAAAACTTGGAGAGGAGGCTCCAGCCACCTTCGCCGAAGTATTGCAAAAAGCGAAGAAAGTCATTGATGGGCAGGAGCTCCTCCGAACCAAGACCAGCCGACCTGAAAAGCAGATCGATCAGAAAAAACTCAGCCAAGAGAAGAGGAGAACTGATGTCAGGTCCAAAGATAAAAGACCATCCTCCTCCAGTAGCAGAATAGAGTACCGTAGGTAGGAAAGCAGCCCTACCCGAAGCCGACCTTATGAACGGTACACCCCAACCACCATCCCCATCTCCGAGATACTCACGAACATCGAGGAGAGCGGGATGGAAAAGCTTCTCAAGCGACCTGAGAAGCTCCGAGGAGACCCAGAAAAGCGCAACAAAGATAAGTACTGCCATTTTCATCGCGATCACGGCCACAATACGTCAAATTACTGGGAGTTAAAACGCCAGATTGAAGACCTCATTCAAGATGGCTACTTCAAAAAATTCGTGGGCAAACCGAGGTCTAACTCGGTCGAAAAGAAAGAAGAGAGGAAGCGTTCAAGAATGCCGCCTCGATGAGAGGACCGACCTGCGGTCATTAATACTATTTTCGGAGGTCCGAGCGGGGGCCAGTCCGGAAACGAGAGGAAGGAGCTAGCTCGCGAGGCCAGGCGCGAGGTATGCATCATCAGGGAGCAGAAGCCCACTTGCTCCATCACTTTCGACGACGCCGACCTGGAGGGGGTCCACTTGCCTCACAATGACGCGCTCGTGATCGCCCCTCTCATTGATCACGTCCTGGTCTGAAGAGTATTGGTTGATGGAGGCGCATCTGCCAACATCTTGTCTCTCCCAACATATATAGCATTGGGATGGACCAAGGCACAATTGATGAAAAGTCCAACACCCTTGGTTGGATTCTCTGGAGAATCGGTCTCCCCAGAAGGGTGCATCGACCTGCCGGTAACTATCGGGCAAGATGCTACCCAAGTAACGCAGATGATCGAGTTCGTAGTGATCGACGGCAGATCGGCCTATAACGCCATTTTCGGGAGACCCATCATCCATTAATTTTGGGCCGTCCCCTTCACACTGCATCAAGTCTTGAAGTAATCAACCCTGAATGGGGTGGGCACGGTCCGATGTGAGCAAAAAACCTCACGGGAGTGTTATGCATCCGCGCTTAAAGGGTCGGCGGTATGCGCCCTGGAAGAGCAAACCAATCGTGGCAAGCTGCAGGAGTCAGAGGCCGACCTGCCAAAGGAAGGCAAAAGGCAGTTTTCCCCGCCAACAGAAGAGCTCAGGCTTGTTCCTTTACTTAGCCCCGAAAAACAAGTAAGCATAGGAACCAAGCTGGGGCCACTGACAGTGAAGAACTGATCAACTTCCTCAGGTCTAACTCGAACGTCTTCGCATGGTCTCACGAGGACATGCCTGGTATCAACCCGAAGATCATGGTGCATCGCCTCAACATAGACCCATCATTCCGACCTGTAAAGCAAAAAAGAAGACCTGTAAATAAAGAGAGGAGTGATGTAATTGTTGARGAAGTAAACAAACTCTTAAAAGCTGAATATATAYGAGAAATTMTGTATCCTGAGTGGCTCTCTAACGTTGTATTAGTTAAAAAATYCAACGGGAAGTGGAGGATGTGCGTGGACTTTACAAATTTAAATAAGGYGTGCCCAAAAGATTGCTTCCCCCTTCCAAGGATCGACCAGCTCGTGGACGCAATAGCCGGGCACGAGCTACTCACCTTCATGGATGCCTACTCCGGATACAACCAAATTAAAATGCATTTGCCAGACCAAGATCACACCGCGTTCATAA